GCTTCACCATTCCCTCTTTCGGGTACCATTTCACAATGTAAATTATTATTATTATTATTATTATTATTATTATTATTATTATTATTATTGTCATCATCATGATGATTTCTGCTTCGTATATAAGAGATTTTAATTTTCTGGCCGTCTGCTCCTCGAGTGTGGGTTGTCCCTCTGTTAGATGCGGTTTAGCTGCTGATGTGCTTCGCAGGGACTTGACGTACTTGGAACCAAAACTGTTTTTCTTAATAGTATTGTATTTTATTGTAGTTATTTCTTCTAATTAGAATGTTGATAACACTCAGCAGGGATGTATGTACACACCTTCCTCTCCCCGCAGAGTTCCTGGCGCGATTCCATGTATTGTGTTGGGTTCCTTGCTGTTATGTCCTTGAATATGTTTATTTACATTTTGTGCTTACTTATTTTATACAGTTGGCCTTTTGGTTGTTTAGTATGGAAACTAATAAACACGGAATTAAAATGAGTTATTTCTGAACATGCTCCTCTAAACTGTTCCTGCTCCCACTTGAACACTGAACTACCCAACAACAGTTACTGCTTTCTTTCTGCGTTACAGTTCTATTAGGACCAGATCAATCGAAGGCCAAGCTGGTGGAAAATAGTCTGATAACAATTCTGCTTGAAAATCCCGAGGACAAGTCACTCGTCAAGGAGATTGTTAAGAAGGTCGAGGAATTCTACTCCGGAGACAAACGGATTATTCACNGGGCGGGAAATTGTTGCCTAATTTTGCTTAGAGGTCTCCTAGAGACATGAGGATCTTTTACGTGCCGTAAATCTACGACACGGGACCCACGGCTTAAAGACCCTCCCGGAGGATTTGTTCCCTGAATTTTTCCGCTCTTAAAAATTCCACGACCTCCGCCAGGTTTGAACCCGCGTACCTTGAGTCATGAGGTGGGAACGTTATCCCTAGACTACGGAGGCCGCTGACTTTTACCGTTACTTCATCCTCAGTTAGTGACGTGGACCGTTACGTCATCCTCAGTAACTTGGACTGTTACTTCATCCTCAGTTAGTGACTTGTACATGGCAGCGCCATAGCTCGAGCGGTTAGTTGCTGGCTTCCCCGGGTTCGAGCCCGGGTCGGGTCAAGTCACTGATAAATGAAAACTGATGCTGAACTAAAATAACATTTCGTACAGTTTCTGTCATTGAAGCAAGGCTCAACGCAAGGACCACCTCCCCTCCACTAAAATTTCTGGCTAGATTCCCATTGGTTGGAATAGAATAAAATATGTGTGTCCTTAAGGCTGGGACGTGTCATCAACAATAGAAACTTTTGTGATTATTTACTGTAAACGTCTGACCCATCGCTTAAATGGAATGGGTTCTCACATTATTGAACAAGTTTATATATCTGTTACCGGATGTGAGAATACAGCCTGTACCCGTCATAACTGTATTTGTAGTTTGCCGACTGTGCTATTTCAACACCAAATTTGTTTCTATCCAATGAAGTAGGAGGGAGTAGGAAATGTGTATTTCATTTTCTGCCAAGATATTGTATTTTCATTTTCAATAAAATAACTAAGAATTCAGATGTGATATCAACAATAGAAAAACTTAAAATTTTGTTGTAAACAACTGTTCTGTTGGAGACAGGCCACCTCCGCATTGGGATGGGATGGGATGGGATGTGATGCAAGGCAAGAGAAGGACAAACTGTTTCCGACATTGTATAATTTATTATCGGTGTTAAGAATACGAAAATGAATCTTTCCTTAACCTTTAACCGCCGGAGTTTTGAAACGCAGGTAGAGCTAGCTGACCGGGGTTTATTTAAATGCCCGCTGCTTGCAGGGGTTTAAATCCACGTTTCCGCTCTGCGTTAAATGCCAGTTCCAATTAGAGTGCTTGAGAGTTGTATTTGGAATTGCTCTATCTAATACAATTTTTATGATAAATGAATGGAATTAATTAAAAAATTCTTCACGCAACAGTTCTGCAGTATACATTTTTTCCGCTTCTACACACATCAGTTCTGCAGTATAAAATCTTTCTTGTTTGTAACACTTGGGCTTGTTAGCAGAAACTCCATATCATAAAAGTGTGCTGGCCAAAAGCCTATATATTTCTATCGTCACAAGTTTCTCAGCTTATTCAGGGTATTAGGCGGAAGTTGATACAAAGGAAAATTGCCTGCCCCTATATTCTTTGAAAAACCCTTATTGCTGCCAAACAAGGGTCTTCCATTTACTGGATCTGACGATTCTGAACAGGTTCATCCTGCTACCATCCTGCGGTGCGAAACTGTCACATAGGGACTTCCGTCTTACCCTTATACACAACATGGTGGAACATGCTGTAATGTGTCGTTCCCAACCACAACGCCCATTAGGTCGACCACCTGCTCTGTCATCCACAATATTTCGTCTAGAGGAGGCCAATCGACATCACTGGCCGACCTCTTGTGCCATGAGAATGAAATGTCGTGTTTGTTCTGCATGTGGAAAGAGGAAACGTGTTCAGATGAAGTGCGATAAATGTGAAGTGGGACTGTGCATTCTCGGGTGCTTCAAACAGTACCACATGAAAGCAAAATTTAGTTAGACGACGCAGGGGAGTAGCCTGTACAACCATGAAACAGATAACAACAACAACAATAACAACAACAACAACAACAACAACAACAAAGGTACTGTACATTGAATTTACTGCCAAAGAAGTAATGGGATGCTTTTAAGTCATTTAGAAAAGAACCGGGATGCCATCCCGCCGCATCCCGCCCCACCCCAAGCCCTGGTTTTAAATTAATGTATAATACATAGTAACTCGTCAACACCCGCAGATTTCAAGTAACCTTGAGTTTCCTGTTGTATTCATTATTTCCAATTTCGGATTTCTTCTGTTGCAGTTGATTACCGATTTATTTTTCTTGCTCGGGACGAACACAGCAGCCAGACTCCACTCTAAGAGAGGGGCGCAAGTCTATTATTACTTATTTGACTATCGCGGAACCAACAGCTTCAGTACTCTGGCAACAAATTCGACTGCTGATTTTGGTGAGTGCTTACAGCATGTGAAACTACAAACATTTGCAACAACTCAGAGCCGATTAAAGGAAT